GCTTGAGGAATATTTCTATGCTGGCGCGGATATTCTTTGGTGGGCATAAACTAACAGATGTAGGTGCAGTTCGGCTTGGTGGGAGCAACAAATGGTACTCAGCTAAGGTTGTACGGTGTACTTGTGAAAACCTGCCACTTTTTGTGAACAAAATGGTTCACTCGCAACGTTTTGCAGCTTCTTAGGAGTTTACAGGTCCACCAAAGCGAGACTTGTTGGTAACATGAATTAACAAAAAAACTCGCGAGAGTGCAAAATGACCCCTCCAAGCCGACAGTGCCCAAAAACGGAGGATGAGAAGGATAAATTATTCTTGAATTTTGTTTAGGAAGACTATAACAAAGTGAAAGGAAGTTACGTACTCACAGCCAAATTGTTGAATGCTGCGGCACGTCCTCAAGAATTCAACGGCAACGTTCTCGGTAAGAGTTGACTTGGATATTTTGAGAAATGTGCGTCTTACTAATTATGTCTGCTCAGGACCCAACCGTAATCTCCCAATTGTGATGCACCCACTGCCAAGAGTGGACGAAATCAGTACAGAATTGGATCACGATGACCGTGCAGCTTACTTCCGCCAAGCAAAGAATGGAATGTATGTACGAATGGCTTTGTTAGCGATGATACTCGGGAAGTCACCCATATAATTGTAGTCAGCAATAGTAAATCCACTCCCCATCTGTTGAGTTTAGTTTTCACTTGTAATTGTTTTTTGTGGCTGTGGGTCAGGACATCCGCTTTCGCCACGGCGCCTCAACTCGCATCTCCTGACTCGCGAATTCGATGAAATTATTGTTGAGCCTTTCGATGCCGGTTGTGTCTGGCATAGTTTGAAGTCTTCAATGGTTGTTTGAATGTTTTTTTTATTGTTGAACAGTCTGGTGATATCAGTTTGAAAGGGTTTTATGTTGTTTACGTTGTTGGTCGATTGTTTTGTTTACTTTTAGATAAATATATGTAAAACGGACGTTGTTATTCGAATTGCGGAGTTTTGAACCTGGAAGTGTTGAACCGGGCACATATCGGCTTCCTATGTCGTTTATAAAAGAATAAGGATAAAAATAGAACGCTGGGTAGTCGAGAATGGAAAACGAGCGATAAGCCACACATTTTCTCTGCTCGTCAAAGGTTTATTCGGGTTAACATTAAAAAAATCTGACTATCTCGGTAAGAGAGCGCGGACGAACCGAAAGAAGAGCGTTAGTTCAGCCTCTCTGCCCCGTTGCCCCCCCCCCCTAGTGGTAGCGCCGCAAAAAATCTATACAACTACTATTTGCAATAGTTGAAAATGGTAGTTGGTTCCTAACGACCTCCACCACCCCTGCTTGACGGTAAATTTTTGGGAGAAAGTAGCAAATTTTTAGGGAAAACTGGTAGGAAGCTGGGAACATGTGGGAAAGTGATAGGTAGGTAGGTGTTGGGGAAGGGAAGGAGATCGCAGCGAGACCCTCTTTTAGGTGTGGGGGGAGGGGGTCGCAGCAAGACCCTAATTCGAGTGGGGTCTTGCTGACACCACCATTTCACACGGCACGCTTCTGTACCCTGGTTCCAATCTCGCTCGATGTGCGTGACGGGGTTCTGCCGTGACTTCTGCCGTTTCAGGGTCAAGAGGCGAGTGCAACTACGCGGTGGGCTATGATGGTGAAGGGCTGTCTGGTCAACTGTCAGCAGAAGACGGTTAATCACTTCAATGAGAGGGTAGGTACTAAAATGGATTGGGAAGAGTGTTCCTGTATTTGATCACTTATTCACAAGTTCAATTTGTATTTTTTATTTGTTTTATTTTTATTTTAGTTTTTATTTTGTTTTTCTACAACTAGCTACGCAGGTGATGTAGTGGCTAGTGACACGCTTACTGCACGCCTGGTCCTAGAGGTTGTATTTGTGTAAGCTCCCGCTCAGCCCATCCATGCCTTTTTTTTCTCCGGTGAAGGCGGCGAACTGTTACCAGACTCGTCTGGGAGAATAAAAACGACGCAGCTCGGCGACGGGGGGGCATTTTGCACTTTCACTGCTTCACTGGTTCCGGTTTACAAGTCTCACTGGTGAAACCTGTGAACTCTTGTGAAGCTGGAGCAAGCTCGTCGAGCCGCATGGTAGAACCTGTCAACTCGAGAAAAGGCTCTCTGGAACACGTCAATGAGAAGCAGTGGAAGTACAATATGCCTCACCCCCCCCCCCGTCGCCGAACTGCTCCTCGAAAAACGTTGACTCGTACATGGGCTCCCCACTCCCTCCCCGAAGTCATTGTTCGCATTCAGTAAGGTACAACGATTTGGAAGAGAAGCGCCGTAAACCAAAAAGGAATTAATCAGCGGCGGAGACTATCTTTTTCCTTTATCATTCGTATCTAAGTCCATGGACCCGCCCCCTCTAGGTACCGTGACATCGACGGAATGGGCGCTGTTTGTCGACGGGGGGGGGGGCATTTTGCACTATCATTGCTTCCTCAGTTCCGGTTTACATGTCTCACTCTGGCGAAACCTGTGAACTCTTGTGAAGCTGGAACAAGGTCGTCAAGCCATCATGTTAAAACCTGTCAACTCGAGAAGAGGCTGTCTAGATAGGCCGACACGTCGATGGGAAGTAGCGAAAGTGCAAAATGCCCCCTCCCTCCACCCACCCGTCGACAAACTGCGCCGACGGAATGTCCCGGATGCGCCACATTATAATTCCATTTGCATAATTATAGTAAGCAAATCATTTGAATGTATGGTGATTCAGTCGTGGGGCACTGTTAGATCGCCGCACTGGTGGGCGTGGTTAGCGACGTCGTAGCGTACGAGTTGTCTTGTTACATGGCTCGTTCAATTTGTCAAAGGGGCCATGGACGGACGGTTCGCTGACGGAATGTTGGTCAAGGTCGCTGTGTATCAATGTAAATCCCTTGCTCCAACAACAAGCCAGTGAGTACAGTAATGCAACAAGAAAGTGCGACTCGCCGTGCGCGTCTTGAGCGACCTGATCTGACTGGGAGACGGGCAAGAGAATCGTAATTTGCCGCTCCGCCGCGCGCGTTGGGCGTGGCGTTTTCTTAACTCGTGTTAACTTGTCGATTGAGCATCGGAATTCAT